TTGACGCATCATAGTTCTTCAGGCACTGCTTTCTCAGACTCTTCAGACCCGGCAGTCCGGTTGGGGAGAAGCACTGCTTTTAATACCAAAATAATTCTAAGATTTTCGAAGATGCACTCGGATGCACCAGATTGAATGAATTTTTAAATCGGACCCAGCAGCAGTGTAGCTTCACTAAAAAGCAGGGTTTTTTGAGGGAGCAGTTTTCTGAGGAACATGAAATGCTCCATCGACCTTCAGCTGCTGGATTTCGAAGGTGGATTCAAGTTCCGAAAGTGCGGAAAGTTGCCTCGCCACCCCACAGACCCGTTACGATTATTTAGGTCCAAGCGAAGCGGACTTTCTCTCCCTATTTTCTTTTTTTTTTCTCCTCCCCTGGCTCGCCGGCCAGAGGCATTCGATTATCAATAAATCTCCGGCGATTAGGTCGCAAAGTAAGTGAGAAGGAGACGGTGGCGACAAAGAAGGAGAGTGTGGCCGAGGTTATGGGTCGGCGGGGCATGCTTACCCCGCAGATTGGCTTGGGGCCCAGCAGCCCGACCGGCCTGCCTGCCTGCCTGCCTGGGGCTTTGGCCCTCTCCTTTGGCTTTCTCAGGAAAATAAACTTGCACGTACTTGAACTGCCCCAACTCCTATCTTTTGCCCATTTTATTCCTCGCTGTCTCCTTTTCCCTTTTTGCGCCCGCGGTTGCGGCCCCTCCTCTCCTCTCTCGCTTTTTTCTCCCTGGCCGGCGTGGAAATTGAATGCTGGGACTGAATTGTTATGTCTCAAAGACAATAGATTTTAGATAATGCTCGGAGGCTGCGGGGACGGGGCGGGGTGGCGGTGGCGGTGCGGCCGGGGGCTGCTTCATGTACCCCTCGAGCCCCCCCCCACAAAGTACGGAAGACATCGGCCCGTCTTTCACCCGATGGACCCGAGGCGAGGCGAGGCGAGGCGAGGCGCCCTCGCTTTATGCCCGGTTCCAGCAGAAGCCAGTGTTACCAGGTGACCCGGCAGGCGAGCTTAGGGGCCAGGCTGGGCGCTCGAAGAAAAACCTTCCAGGTTTCCCAGTGTCCGCGGTCAGGTCACACGGACGACTCCTCGTACCGAAAGGGGAAAACGAGGCGGCAGTTTTTTTAACAGTAAAAACTGCGACAAAGTTTCGAGTGTGACGCCTTGGCTGCCACACTGCCACGTAGTAGCGCCGCGAGCCGAGCCGCGCTGCGTTCGGTTCCAGAGGACTCCCCGAGGGGCCGTCTGCGTGCGGGCACGGCCGGGCACGGCGCACCTGCCGATGCGAGGTGGTGCGGCGTGCCCGGCGCGCTGTCTCTCTCACTCCCATCGCGTCCCAGGGAGGAGCGAGGGAGACGCGCACACGCGGAGCGCACTGTTCGGCGTGCTGGTGGCGCATCCCTTCAAGGCCCTAGTGCCCCCCTGTGCCCCGCGGGGGCTGAAGGGGCCCGAAGGGGGCCCCACTCCACCCGGACACATTTCTGTCTCCAGCAGCGCCGCGACGCGCCGCCGGCGGCGGCAGGTGATCTAAATTGTGGGTTCTTTCCTCCGCGCGTTATTCGGCCGTCGTTCGCCTTCGACCCCTTCGTCGTGAAGGGCTTCGGCGCGGTGCATCCCTCCGTCTCCGTCGCACTCGCGCGCGGCCGGCGGCGGCCGGCGGGCTGCAGAGGGGCCGTGGAGGGCCCCAGAGGGGTCCGGAGTGGCGGCCAGGCCATGGCCAGGCCAGGCCGTGCGAAGGGAGTGCGCTGGAGAGTGAACGCGAGATAAGAGCAGCCCCCTCCGGCCCCCTCCGGCCCCCTCCGGCCTTCCACCCTGCTACCCCTACCCTCCCGCGGTCCCTCCGGCCCTCTTGGCCGAGGTGGCGTGTGCGATTGGCTGAGAGGGTTAACTGCTCTGCATATGCGGCGGCCCCGGCAGCCGGCTGTACGTATGTGTGTTGATGTGCGCCTAGGTGCGCTCCGGGTTGATATGCGCGCGTTCCTCTGTGTGTGTGCGCACGTGAGTGTGTGTGTGCGTGTGTGTCCGAGGGGGTGGGGGAGTTAATAGCGACGCAGGCGGGCGGCAAGCGGCGCGTCTATTAGGAACGCTTTACGGTCAGCCGGGGCGAGGCAGGGCGAGGCCGGGCGGACCGTGGTCGACCGTGGCGGCATGCAACATTTCGCTGCTGCATCCACGGCTAGACTGTGTCATTCCCCCTCCCCCTGCCCGGCCACCCCCCGTGGGGCCCGCCGGGCTGGGGCTGGCTGGGCTGGGCAATGTGGAACTGGTTTACTGCATGACCTGCCGTCTAATACGCAACAAAGGGTCCGGAGTTTGTCGCTGCCAGGGCGCCAGGGCGAATGGACGGCTGGTGACGGACGGACAGATAGACGACAGGCAGACAGACAGACAGACAGACAGGCGGACGGATGGCGGAGGGACGGCTGCGCTGGCCGGTTAATTGTGTCCCGTGTAATGAGAGGCGCCAGTGTGTTAGTGTGTTGGTGCTGACCAAATAGATAGACAGGCGCGAAGGGCCCTGGCCGGCCCTGGCCCTGGCGGTCCTGCAGACTGCGTCCCATCGCTGTTTCGTCGCTCTGTCTCTCTCGCACCTGCACGGGACGCCGCACGAGTGCGAGAGAGACGGAGCGACTATTGTTCGGAATGGCGCTGCTGGCGCTGCTGGCCCCCGGCGGCGCGGCCGTCTGTGTAATTGGACGCCTCCGCACTTGCCGTTGATCCCGGAATGACCAATGGCCGAGAGAGAGAGAGAGAGAGAGAGAGAGAGAGAGAGAGAGAGAGAGAGAGAGAGAGAGAGAGAGAGAGAGAGAGAGAGAGAGGAAAAAAGAGGAGCGGGGGAGTGTTTGACTGTCCTTTGTAGGGGCGGGTCGAACGGAACAGGTCGACTGCTGGCTCCCACGCGCGCCGCGTGGTTGTGGACGTCGTCGTGCACGTCACTGGGACTGATTTCGAGAGTCGTTTTCGTCGCTCTGTCTCTCTCGCACCTATGCGGCACGCCCCGTAAGTGCGAGAGAGACAGAGCAGTGTGCTGTCCGCCCACTCGTGCCCCCGTCGGCACTCTCTCCACCGTGCCGCTCCTCGATGTGCGCGTCAGGTGGCAATTTTTTTTGGCTCGTCCCTCCTGCTGTTCGGCGAGGGCCACCCATTAAAGACCCCCTTTTTCGGTTCCTCAGCGGCGGCAGTGCCCTCCCCCCTCCCCGGCCGGCCTGACCTAGATAAGGCTGTAGGGATGAAAATGCCCGGAAAGTTTCCGGAAACATTGGAAAAAAACAGTGTTTTTTTCCGTTTTTTTCCCTGGCCTCGGAAAAATTGGAAAGATTCAGCCTGAAAAGTAGGCAAAAAGTCGGGCATTTCGCCTGAAAGTAGGCTAAAAGCATACCTTTAACCCTACTGTGAACACGATTCTCAGTGCACTCAAACTACTTATACCCTGTTATGACTCCTTCTCGTGCGTTTTTTGAGCTTGCTGTTGTTAATCTCGGGTTGTCAGTATAGGTAAAGTTGTAAAAAAGCACAAAAGTGGTAGGTTTCATGTTCATAGTGCTTAAAAACTAATTTTTCCTATTTTTCCTTTTTTTCCAAATTTTCTAAGTTTTTTTCCAACTTTTCCGGTTTTTTTCCGACCCTTTGAAAGTTTCCGGAAAATTTGCATCTCTATAAGGCTGATAGCGGCAGGCCGTGGCCAGGCCAGCGCCGTGTCCACCTTATATTGCCAGGAGGGTTTGGCTGGAAATCGGCCAGCTGCAGGGATTGAGTAGGGCCAGGCCGGCCAGGGCCCCGGGGCCGGCGGGGCCGGCGGGGCCGTGACGAGGTACACGGGGCCGGCGGCGAGGGCCGCTGGAGAACTGCTGGCGGGCCACTGGAGGGTCGCTGGAGGGCCGCTGGAGAACAGCGGAAGAGAGAGGGCCACGCCAGCCAGTCACAGTCACCTACTCGTTTAGTAACTGACCTTTCGTAAGAAATACAAGACAAAAATAAATAGACACCATTTTTTTTGCTATCTAGAAGTGTGAAAAGAGCGTGGCAGTGCTTGATACCCGCCGCGTGTCCCGGTGCCCTACAAGGTCGGGCCGGCCGTGGTGGACGCGGGAGTGGCGGCGTGGCGCGGCGTAGCGGCACGACGCCGCGGTGCAGCGAGTCATTCCCAGGCCGCGCTGCGCCGCGCCGCGCCGTGCCGCGCGGACGTTGAACTCGGGGCAGATGAAGGAGAGCAGCGCGCGGCCCGGTGCGCCGCGGTGGCAGCGCGGTGCAGCGCAGCAAGGGCCCGTCTGCCACCCGACTCCGTCTCTGTCGCACTCGCGGGGCCCTCCGCAGGGGTGCGAGAGAGACAGAGGCGGTCGCTTCTTTTTTGGCCGAGCGTGTTCGCTTCGTTGTGATGGAGGGCCTGCGCCTCCCACTCTTTGTGCCATTCCGTTAAACTGGCCGCGGATGTGCGCTGCGCGATGCGCGGATGAAAGGCGATCATATCGGGAGGTCGAGATGCTGGAGATGGTGCTGCGTCGCCCACTCAGCAGTTTCGTTGAACCTTGCCGCGCCTGCAGGCCTGCAGTCAGCAGCGCGGTCGAGGGAAAGACCGCGACGACCGTGCGACCGGCCGCCCGCTGAACGTCGTGTGCGTGTGCGCGTGAGTGTGCTGCAACTTTTTGGCGGCCATGGCGCGCAGTCGGCCCCGCCCCGCCCCGCCTCGCCCGGGCCGCTCGTGCGTGGAATCGCCGATGATAGCGCACACCGCTGATGAAGCGCCCCGGTCTGCTCAAAACAAACACAAACAAGGAGCGAGCGAGACGATAAATTAAAAAAGGGAACGATTACCAAGCCGGCCTTGCCCCAGGCCTTGCCTGCCGTGCGCCGCCGTTCTGAAGTAGAAAAATATTTCTATCTGTGGTCGCTCTTAAGCCGACCTCTGACCGAATCGATATGAAGGAAGATCCACATTTCTGACAGGGACTTCGGATGTTGCCACTGTCAGTCACCTTCTCACGTTTTCCATTTTTCTCTGTTCCAGAGGTCGGATGACGCCCCCTGTTCCTGTCCGCAAGAAACTCCCATAAAGAAGTAACTTTTTTAACTTGATGCACATTTTATATTACTGTACTGTACTGTACTGTACTGTGTGTGTGTGTGTGTGTGTGTGTGTGTGTGTGTGTGTGTGTGTGTGTGTGTGTGTGTGTGTGTGTGTGTGTGTGTGTGTGTGTGTGCGCGTGTGTGCGCGCGCGCGTGCGTGCATGCGTGGGTGTGTGTGGGGCTTCCCTCTCCAGCTGAATGTGGGACGGGACTGTGACGTTTACATTAAGGCGTCGTCCTGGAAGGACCTGGAAGGACCTGGAAGGACGGGCCAAAGGCGCCGGCCAAAAGGATTCTGCAAGCAGGGACGCCGCGGCGCGCCGTTGCCCTCGGGGACCTCAAAGGAGGAGAGGCGGCAGGACCGTCAGCAAGGGGCTCTCGTCGTGGGCCCCGCTCGGCCCCGCTCGGCCCCACTGCCGTCATGCCGTGCCGGACCCGCCGCTGCAGCGAGTCAAAACGTTCAATGCCGCCGAGTGGAGTAACACACTATGTTTCGGCCACCGCGTGACAGGCGCGTCACACGTGGGTCGCGCCCTCGTCACGGCTGACGTGACGACGGCGACGTGACGGGGCGTGCCGGACACCGCGGCACGTCCCGCTGAGTCAATATTTGGAAACGACATTGAACTTGGAGCGTGGCGCGCGCTCTCTCCCTCCCTCTGTCTGCGCGAGAATGAGAGGATACTTCCGTCTCTGTCGCAGTCGGCGTCGCGCGGGCGTGCGAGAGAGACAGTGCATGTTCGGAATCAGAATACCGGCGTCGTGCCCGGGAATTCGTCATTCCTGTGGCGCTGCGGACTTTTGCTGGAATGCCGGGAATGGCCGTCATCTTGTGCTGCGGAGCGCGGAGCGGGGAATGTGACATTCGGGCAGGAACCAGCACCAGCGGGAACCAAGGCGGGGACCGCTCCGAGGCGTCCAGTGAGGCCCAGTGCCCAGTGTAGGTGTAGGCTCGCCATCAATTTACCACTGGCGGCCGAAGAGCCCACATTCAGCTGCCGCCGGCTGAGCTGCCGTTCTGCTAAACTGTTTCTCAGTGCTGTCCGATTCAAATGCAATCCCAGACCTGCCTTGGCTGAGCAGCAATCATGTTGTCAAGATTTTTGGTTTGCGGCTAAGCCCCTGTGGGATCCGGGATAGGCAGTCCCGCTCGCCTTGCCTGTCTGCGGGTTGCCTACGCAAACTCGGCAGGCGCTTTTTTTCGTCACCCCAACTCGAAGCCCAGCGGCGCGCGGCGCGATCCAGTGTAGTTGTTTCTCACAGTGTGGGGCCCGGGTCGCCACCGCAGTGTTGGTCCAGCAGGACCCTCTGACCCGCTGCCAGCGTGGAGGCGGAGAGGCAGAGGGCGGAGGGACGCGACTGAGCGAATGCCGAGAATCTGAAATGGAGCGGTCCTGTCGTCGGCGGACGCACAGGGCGGCCCACACTGGGCGGTCCCCGCGCGGTCCTCGCGTGGAGTGGAAGGGGAACCGAACTCACGCGTGTCCATAAGGATTGCGGCGGCGGCGGGCAAGTAGTGCACCTCCACTGTCGGGGCCCTTCGAGTGGAGAGCGGTGGGCAACTCATAGCGGGATTATAGGGCCCCTTTTCGGGCCTAGGACGGGATTCCGGGCCTTAGCCGGAGGCTGCTGGGGGTCGTTTGGCCACTGTCCAGCCGTGAAACAGCTGGGTGAGCAACTACTCGCGGGGCGGGGCGGGTTGGCACATAGGGAGGAGATAAGGCGAACAATGCTGGCAATAAGGGACGAAGATCGCCGATGATAAACGTGTTTTAGCGGTATTTTCCTCTGCCGTTTGTTTTTCGGGCAGCGGGTTCCACACGCCTTGTGGCCACTCTCTCTTCCTCTCTTTCTCATTGCACGGCCGTGTCTCTATCTCTCGCGCTCATCTGCCAAATTAAGTTGCAGTTTTCCGTCGTCTGCGCTCTAAAAGTCAAGTGAACATTACCCACCTTTGAAAATTCATCATGCCTTATGGATACTTTGTGGAGTTTCTTGTGTGTCATGGACTCTGTGAGAAATTTAGAGTGTGGTGGGACGGGGAGCGAGAAACGCGAACAAGTCGCCGCCTCAAACACGTGTAGCGCGCCGTGGCCGTGGAGGCAGATGCCGCCGTGGTGCTTGGTGCTCGCTGGCGCAGGGCGGGGCGTCGCGGGGGCGTCGCGGGTTAGGGGGGGGGGCAGCGGGCCGGGACAGTGCAAGGGATGCCGAGGGGAGAGGCAGGCCCTGTCCAGAACAGATTCTGTAGCAGATGGTACCCTCCCCTGCGTCCCCCTGGTTCCGCCTCAACTCCGCCACGCCCCGCCACGCCCCGCCACGCCCCGCCACGCCCCGCCACGCCCCGCCACGCTGTGTTGAGTGCCCCTGATGCCCGTATCGGCCCCTCGCCGCCCCTCCCCCTCCCCCGCCGCGCCACGCCGCGCTGGAACAAGGTCCGTTGGCTTGCGCTGCTTGCGCGACCGCCACCGACCGCCGCCGTCCGGGAAAGAACGACAAAGAGGGAAGATGCAAAGGGGGAGGTCAGTCGCTCTCCCCCACCCCTCGTCACGAGCGGCACGTTCATAAATACTCCTTTCCAAAGCTGTCAGAGATGCTTATCTTTTCTCGCAGTTCAATGTAGTGACAAAAGATCAGCAACCTCAGTCTTGGTTTTTTGCCCGATGTGACAAGAGGGGAGGCGGATTACGGAAACATGACGTCATCACGGCCGGCGACACCTCCCCGTCGCCCTCCTGGGCGGATGCCAGGCGGCCTATGCTTTTGCATGGGCCGCGCGCCGCGTCGCTCCGTCTCTCTCGCACCGCCGCGGGGCGCGCCGGGAGTGCGAGGGGGACAGAGCGACGGAACCACTGTCCGGCGTGCTGGAGCGGGCCGCTGGAGGAATGACCCCGGGGCTCGGAACAAGCAGGTTGGTGGAACTGCTTAGCCTGCAGAACGCGTAGAGAGCGAGCAGAGGACCGAGCCGTGTCGAGCGCCAGCCCTTGCGCCAGCCCTTGCGCCAGCCCTTGCGCCAGCCCTTGCGCCAGCCTCGCTGTCCGGCCGAGAGGACCCTCCCTCGTCCCTGCCGCTGCGCCCAAGGCCCTGCCGCCCCGCCGCATTGCAAGGGCGTCCAACTCTGTCTTTGTCGCAGTGTCAGCAACCCGCAGTCGCCCGGATGACTCATTGGCCGAACGGTTTTGGCGGGACGACGACGCGTTTGGTCTCTCGAGATTCAAAAGACCGTGCAGTGCACTTAATGTATGTCGCGTCCATTGTTGGTGCTGTGCCTTCGAACCCATTCCGATTGCACCAATCATGGCGAGTCCGACGGAAAAGCCATAGAGCATTGGCTGATGCTCTGTCAAAAGTACCTTCTTCGGTAGAAGTAAGTCTCGGTTTCCACTTTCGTCAGGCAAAGCCTCGAATCTCACGTGAGGGACACGCTAATGAACTTTTCTTTTCGGGAAAGGGGGAGGGGTGGAGGAGGGGGTATTCCGGCCCACACTTTTCCGTGAAAAGGTTTTTGCGGCGTGGGGCGGCCGGCCGTGTGTGTGCGTGTGTCCGCACAGCGGCGCACAGCGGCGCGAAGGCAGTGTTGACTGTTCAAACACCACGTGCCCCCACGTGGCGCTGCCAAGCCCGGTGAAGCCCCGCGGAAAGAGGAAAAGGGATACCGTGTAGGAGCCTTGTCTGTGCCTCCCGCTTCCCTCGTCTCGCCCCCGGCAAGAGGGTACTCTCAATTATTTCGTTTTTTGGATCGGAACCTGGGGAGCGTGAGAGACACCGCCCTCTTCTCAGCGAGTGGCGTCCCATTGAATTAATACCGAGCATATTAGCGCTTACCAGACCACTCCGTAGACACCCCCCGCACTGCCCCCTCCCCCTGGACGGCCAGCAGGCGCGGATCTGGACGTCCGTCCTGGGGGGGGCAAACATGGTGGGTTGCCTACCTTCAGGGGCCGCCGGACGAAGACAAGCACGGCAATGAGGGTTGCCTTCTTATCAGGAGGTTCTGCAGGTGCTTTTTTTAAATCAATTTTTAACACGATTGAATGTATTAAAGGAGTGGTAAACGTAAATTGTTTGCGAGCGAAGCAAGCTCAGAAAATTTGCGGTTTTAAGGATCTTTTGGTGCTAAACGTGTGCGAGCGAAGCGAGCTTCAGAAAATTTGCGGTTCTTAGGGCTTTATAGGGTGGCAAACGTTATTTGTTTGCGAGCGAAGCGAGCTCAGAAAATTTGCGCTTCTTAAGACTTTTTAGAGTGGTAAACGCGTAATTTGTTTGCAAGCGAAGTGAGCACTAAAAACATTTGCGGTTCTTACGACTTTCCAGGGTGGTCAGCGTTCGTTTGCGAGCTGAGAAAATTTGCGGTTCTTAAAGATATTTAGGTTGGTAAAAGTAAATTGTTCGCGAGCGAAGCGAGCTGAGAAAATTTTGCAGTTCTACCAGTTCCACTAGTCAATGACAGGGCAAAATGCGCGATTTTTTTCAGCCTTAGCTTTTGGGGGGGGCAAAACACCCTTTGCCCCCCCCGTGTATCCGCGCCTGACGGCCAGGGAGGAGAGGAGAGGGCGAGGGGTGGACCGGGCCGGACCTACCAATGCCCCAGGCCATGAATAGAAACAAGTTTGCACCATTTATGTTCTCCGGGCAAGTTTTGATATAAAAAGTTGCCAGGTGGAGAGGCCGAAGGAGCCGCGGCGCCGAAAGAGAGTGAGAGAGTGCGAGTGTGTATTGTCCGGCACACATGTTGCGCTCTGTGCAGTGCTCGCTCTTCTCGGCTGTGTTTCGCTTTTTGCATCCTGTTGTGCCCTGAGCCCTCGCTCGCTGAAATCAAAGTTGCTCATCCAAAATTCATACGACCGTGCCACTTTGCTTTGGCCTGGCCTGAGTGCGCCCAGCCTTTTAGGGGGAACCGAATGCCCGGAAATGGTTCGGCCCTGTGAGGTCTAGTTACTCGCCTGGCTGGCTGTCTGGACGGCCGGGCACCGCCCCGAGGGCCCAAAGGGGTG